TGCATTAGCCACATTTCAAATGTGTGGCTTGTGATTGTCAGATTAGACAGAATAGACACAGAACACCTCCATCACCACAGGAAGTTCTGTCACCATTCTGTCTGCACTCAAATATTCTTAGCTCATAGATTTTCATCAGAGAAGATTTTCCAAAGAAGTGATTGTAAAGTACAACTTTCTGATTTGGTGCCTGTCCTGGATCTTGCTCTGTAGACCAGGCTGGCCTCGAACTCACAGAGATCTGCCTGGCTCTGCCTACCGGGTGCTGGGATTAAAGGTGTGCGCCACCACCGCCTGGCTGGAAAAGTACAACTTTTTAAATCAAATGGTCTGACTTTGAATCCTGGATTCACCACTTGAATGTTCTGTGACCTGAGGATGGTTATTGGGCTTTCCTGCCACATTTTCCATTACGAAGTGGGGACAGTGGCAGGACAGTATTCCCTAACGTTGTTGGAAGCTGTTGAAAAGAAAGACTGCATAATCTGGGACTGGTAAGGTAGCTCAGCAGGGGAGGCTGTCTGCCTTCAAGCCTGTCTGCTTAAGCTGGATCATCAGGACCCATATGGTAAAAGAAGGGAATGGATTCCCAGGGGTTGTTCTCTATACACACACACATGGAGAGAGAGAGAGAGAGAGAGAGAGAGAGAGAGAGAGAGAGAGAGAGAGAGAGAGAGAGATTAAACAATGTAATTTATAGAATGTACTCCGTGTGTTTAACTACTATTTTTGTATCAGTATTTTAGAAATCAAATTGATATTTGTTACCTCATTAACCTGCAGGTTCATGATTTGCATCATCTTGGATAATTTCCTGTCATTGCCCTCTCTCTCTGCTGGGGATAGACCTGGGGCTTCATGCACGCTAAGCAAACGCTTTACCATCATGCTTGTCTCCTCAAGTGTCTCTTTGCCTTGATTCTTTTCTCTTGTCCTGTCTAGAATTCTGGCTGCCTATCCACCGTGTGTTGTCATTTTATTTTCTGTAGCCCTTTGAGTCAGTTTGCTTTTCTGCAAAATGAGGGGACAAGGAGTATCTATCTCGTAGGCCGATTGTGAGGAATGAGTGAGCTAAGCTGTGTACGACTTTCTCACCAGCGGCGTATGTGGGTCCACTATTAACACTCTCGTTGTAGTTCCTTATTCATTTCCAGCCCTTGGAGATTTCCTTTGACTTATTAGGGATCTTTGATAATAGTTTACCTACTCCATTAAAACCAGAAGCTACGCCTCTTTTGGTTGCAAGCTCCATTAAAACCAGAAGCTACGCCTCTTTTGGTGACGTGTACTTTGTGGTTGAACATTTTCCTTTCCCATGCAACACCTTTCAGGCCCCTTTAAGATAGTCTATAATGTATGTATTAGTTTGATTTGCATTAAGTACATGACTGAAAGCCCTAAAAAACAACCACAGCTTTCAAAAGTGGAAGTTTCTTTCTTACAAAAAGTAATGAAGTATAGAAGGGCGAGGTCTCTGGTAGATATGCTTCTTCTCCATGATAATCAAGGGTCCTGGCTTCTTTTAATTCCTCCAGCTCTGGCTGGCATTATATACAAGTACTAGTCAGGAGAGGAAATGGATGAGGAAGACTGTTTCTTCTGTTTGGTACATTTCTCTAAAATCATATATGTCATTTCCTATTGAACAGAGCTTAGTCACATGGCTATGCGTGGTGTCATAGGATGTTGAAAATTTTGTCTATTTATTTATAAACAGATTCTTTTATATAGCCTTGGCTAGCCATAAACTTGTAATCCTTCTGCATCGTCCTTCTGAGTGCTGAGATGAGAGACATGTGCCATCATGCGTGATTATTCATGAACATCAAGCAATGAGGACAGAACGGACATGGGGAGACCTAGCAGTCTTTGCTGTGGTGCTTGTCCGATGTTGCCTGGAGGCTCCTGTCTGTCCCATCTGTTCACCTTGAGGGAAAAGGACTAGTCCTCCTTTACTGGAACTTCTCTGTGGTTACTGGAAATTCTGTATGCCAACACCTCTTAGCCCCACACATACTAGTCCTGAGAAAAATGGGACCATTGATTTCCCTCTGTCATGACTTAATGAAGAATAGACCTATGTCTAATTCACAGCTCCAAATGCTCTAGAAAACAAATGTAAGATGAGGGTTTTGTTTTAGCCCAAGGTCTCAGAAGTTTCTGTCCCTAATCAGCTGGCTTTCTGGCCTTGGACCTATAATGACACAACACATCCTTATAGGAATGTGTGAGAGAGGTGCTCACCTCATGGTGGCCGAAAAGTAAAGTGAGAAAAAGAGTCGGTGTGGCTGGAGTCCCAATATGCACTTTAGTGGTATGCCCCAAATCACCTAACTTCTAGTAAGCCCCACCTACATAGCACCACACTCCAGGGACCTAGATTTAACCCAAGAGACTTCAGGGATATAGCAGATCCAAACTGTAGCAGCACATATTCAATAAAGAACATAGATGTACATAGTGCATCTTCTATGCCAAGAGCTGTTCTGGGTGTTTTACATATGGAATATCTTGAGTTGAGGCTCCTTAAAATTCCTGTTAACATCTTAGTACCACACAATGAGACTTTATTTGGATTAGAGTTTTTACATATGTAACTACACGAGGTTATGCTGGCGTCGGGTGGGTTCCTATTCCAATATGGCTGGTATCTTATAGAAAAGAGAAATCTGGTCACAGAGACACCTACACAGGGAACAAGCCAAATCAAGCTTGGAGTCAAGGAACTGTGAGAAACCCTGGAGCTTTCTGAGGGGCCAAAGCCTCCCTCTGACACTATCTCAGATGCCCAGCCTTCACAGTTGTGAGGCAGTACATTTTTGTTGTTCATACCACAAATACTGCAACAGTTCTAGCAACCACAGCAATCTTACACAACATATTCACTCCTTTTAATCTCAACATCTTCTTGTGAGATAGCTGATGTGCTCCCATTTCACAGATGGCAAAACTGGACGTGCAGTAGTTAAGAAAAACCAGAGTGACAAGGAAAAGCAGAGAGAAAGAGATTGGAACAAGCTGAAGGAGGGAAGGAGGGGAAGTTTGTAAAAGGTTACAGTGTGGGCTGGAATGCAGAGAAAGAATCAAAGGACAAGGATCTGAATGTGGCCTGCCGAAGAATGACAGAAGTTATAGGTTACTATATATAAACAACCAACATTTTCATTTTCAGATGTGTGAAAATTTTGAAAAAAAGTGACCTTCTTTCAGGAAAGCTCCCTCATTTTTGACTCTTGAAGATATTTTATTATCTACAAGTTTCTAAGAGCCCTGACCTTGATGTTTTGTAGATGGGCCTCATTTTTATTTGAAGAAAAAGGCTAATAATGATCACTTGCTCCATGAGTGGTGTTCTACAAGATTTGGATTTTATGCTCATGTGTTCTATAGATTTGCTTCTGATGGGTGAGCCAACACTTGTCCTTTACAAGTCTTTCTATTGTACATCTTACATCTAGTGTATATATACATATGTATGTATATCCTTGTGATATGCATATGTGTATGTATACACAGAAGAAGCACACACAACATAGCTGATGTGCAAAGCAGGAGGCAACACACAGCTATGATAGGGCCCAGTCTTCTCGAATGCAGAGACCTTCACATGGTACTGTACCATCACTCAGAAGTATGCATGGATCTTGGGGGGATGAGGTGTGGAAGCACTTCCAGGAGCATACTGGGGCTTTTTGTGTTGTGGCCCATATATGGTTAGAGGTTGTTTTTATCAACAGAGGTGTATATTCTCATCAAAGGACACAAAAGGGTTCAGTAGAATTAAAACTGTATCCGCTGTCTGGGCATTTGAATTCCTTGTAGTCAGGGACCAGCTGATGAGCAGAGTTATAGTCTTGGGGCAGTCATCAGTGGCAAGTGAGGCTGCTTTGGTACAGTGGACGAGGGAAGATTAAGAGTAGAACTTGAGAAGCTCCAACCAGTGCATCTTGGTTCCTGGCTTTCCTTTGATGAGTAGTAACTATGAAGAGGCAAGCAAAGCAGACCAGCCCAAGAAGGATGTGTTCACCAGGCTAAGAAAACTCAGTTATGAATGAGTCAAACCCTGGTAAGCTGCCATGACTAGCTGTAGGCAGATTTTTCTGTCCCACCTGTCAGTTCCCAAATAATCACACAGAGACTTCTTAATTATGAAAGCTCAGCTGATAGCTTGGGCTTGTTTCTAACTAGTTCTTATAACTTAAATTAACCCATTTATATTAATTCACTTTCTACCTTGTGGCTTTATTACCTTTACTCTGTACTGCCCATGATGCTTCCCTGCTTCCTCCATATCTGATTGGCGACTCCACTTTTTTCTTCCCAGCATTCTCTCTGCCCCAAAAATCCTGCCTAGCTATTGGCCATTTATCTTTTTATTAAACCAATCACAGTGACATATCTTCATACAGTATAAAGGACTATTTCTTGATATTGTATATAGTTTTACTATGTTAAAAATTAAAACACTTTCCTTTTTATTCAGACAAAAGGGGAAAAATGGTGTGAGATATTTGATTACACTGTGTAGAGATATAGCACTCTGATTTGATTTAATAAAAAGCTGAATGGCCAATAGCTAGGCAGGATTTCCAGGCATTGAGGATACCAGAAAGAAGAGGGCAGAGATGCCAGGGACACAGAGCAAGCAGCATGGGCTTTGTAAAGTAAAGGTGACCAAGCCACAAAAAAGAACATATTTTAAAGGTATGGGCTAATTTAAGCTATAAGAGCTAGTTAGCAGTAAGCCTACACTATCAGTCAAGCTTTCATAATTAATAATAAGTCTCTGTGTTGTGATTTGGGAGCTGGCTGGCAGGACAGAGAAAGACTCGCTACAACTAGCAGATGTGGGGACAAAAGGAATTGAGGAGGGACAGTGGAGAAAGCACACTCCTAAGTACTGCCCCCAAACACACATCAGAAAGTGGATTTGCCTCGGATAATAAGTAGCTTGACAAACAATGGTGCCACTCAACTCTCCCTTCAAGAAAGGACTTGCTTGGTCATTCCTAAGGTTTAGAAACTCTTTCTCAATTGTTGTGGACATTACCATGAAAAAAAAAAATTACCCACTAGTTTTCTGCCTGGTTCCTTTCTAGTGATTAGCCTATTGGGAACATTTTATGAATCATTTTTTAAACTGCTACAGGAGGCAAGCATTACAGCACATACTTGTGATCCCAGCTCTTGAAAGGCTGAGGCAGGGGGATTACCATGAGTTCAAGGTCAGCCCAAGCTAAACAGCAAGACTCTTTAAGAGCCAAGTAATACCAAAACCACTACTTTTTTATGCCTGTGACTTGATTGTACTTCAGTACACACACAGTGGAAGCCATGTGTGATTTTCCTAAGAGCTATTTCATCCAGAACAAGATTTGAGTCATATTTCAGTCAGATTCTCACAGTGCAAGCCTAGATGTGTAGAGCATTACAAATCCGCTTTGCCTAGCTAATTTGCATTGCAAACCTTCTGGGATGCTAATGACCAGGCGGTTTGTATGTAGAGAGCTGAAGTAGGCTGACTCCAGAACTTTCTTGATTTATGGATGATCATCTCTTTATCTGGGTGTTATCACTATGTAAGGCTGACAAAATAACTGTAGATCTAGCATTAAAGGGCCATCACTAAGATAAATCTTGTCTCGAGTTCTAGAAGAACTAAAATGACCTTGATAGGCCATAGAAAGAATTACATGTGAAATTCCTTAAGTAAAAATGTATTGTTCTAGGGATGCAGCTTAGCACCAGAAGACAAATAAAATGCAGCCATGCATGGGAGCATGCACCTACACTCATAGCTCACTGGAGTCTAAGGCAGAAGGATCATGAGTTTGTTCTTTCATTTGTTTTTCCCAGAGGGTTTCTCTGTGTAGCCCTGGCTACCCTGGAACTCCCTCTGTAGACCAGGTTGCCCTGGAACACTACCTACCTCTGCCTCCTGAGTGCTGGGATTAAAGGTGTATGCCACCAAGCCCAGCAATGTGTTGTTTCTAACCTAGGCTATATAACAAGCTAAAGGCCATGATAAGATCTTATCTCAACAAAACAAAACAAGAAAATGGACTTGAAAAGAAAAGTCATTTTTGCAGGCACCGAAGGCGCTGGAGGCCTTCAGCCTGGGGCTGTGAGTGCCTCAGCTTTGAGACAGCTCAGCCAGCTGAGCCAAACAGTGACTCAAGGGCCTCGCTGGGTGCGCTTAGCGCAGAGTGTGGATCTCTGTTCTAGAGCTTCCAGTTGGGCTAGCAGAGGCCCTGCCAGGTCCACAGAGTAATGAGAGTGCTCCTTTGTTCTTATGGTAGTCATTCCTCTCTACCAATCTTGTTGTTTAATCAACCGATTTTAGTTTGCGGGTGGGGGGAATCCAAACCCAGCCCGCTCTGCATAACAAACAACCACAAAACCTCAGGGACACAAAACGCAGCTTTTTGCTGGCTGTGAGTTAGCTGGCCTGCTGCTGGAATTGTAACCTGAGCTGGGTCACTCAGGTGTCTGTGGTCAGTTGTTTGTTCTATAAACATTTCTGCTGATGTTGCCCTGGGTCGCCTGTCATGGGTGAGAGCCAACTGGCCGTGGGCTGGTCTCGATGTCTCAGCTGCGACAAGCAGTCTTTTCTACCCACAGTGTCTCATTTACCAATAGACTCTCCCGGGCTGGTTCCTCTGTGGTAAAAGGCTTCCAGGAGAACAAGTTGAAGCAAGCAATGAATACCTCATAAGGTCTGACTTGACTTCTTTCATCACCGTTTCTGCTGCGTTCTAATGGCTAAGGCAAAGCTCCAGGCTAGCTTAGCTTTGTGGAAACCACGTCTTGACGGAAGGTCTGAGAAAGCATATGGGAAAGCTAACGTGGAGGGAGGCGTAAGAAGTGGGGAATGTTTTGTACTGATCTACTGTGGGGAGAATTCCCAGAAGTGAAATGCTGTGTTCTAGCCTAACAGAAATCAGATCATCTCAGTTTACTATGTTGCTACTACCTCCCCCAAATCCTCCCTGTGTGTCTGGTTCTGCTTTTCTAATGATTGTTTATTTACTTTTTTTGAGACAGGCTCTCACGTATCCCATGTTGGCCTTGAATTTGATACCTAGCATAGGATGACCTTGAACTTCTGATGCGCCTAAGTGCTGAGATTTCAGGTGTGTACCACCATGCCCAGTTTCTGTAGTTCTAGGGATCAAACCCAGGGCTTCCTGCCTGCTAAGAATGCATTGTGCCAACTAAGCAGAAGGAGTGTTTAGGAGGTGGACCTGGCTAGTATGTCAGTAAGCAAGAGTGTTAGCAATCAGGCCCTGCACCGGCCTGCCCTCGGGGATGAGCATCATCATCAGCCCCCAAGACATGACACATTCCCACTGTCTCCAGGAGTCATGCATTCTCCCTATGCTCATGTGCTATATGCCCTAATAAAAACCCAGTATCTTCTCTCCCTGTTCCTTTTCCCCCTCCACCCTTGCTCAGAGGCAGCCTCCGCACCACACCCCCAATAGACCTCTTGCATGACAGCTGTGGCTTGCTGTGTTTTTGTGGTGCTCCTTGGCTCCAAACTGCCAAGGTGTCTTCTGCCCCTTAAGCTATTCCAACGGTCCTCTGGAAGTAATAATACCTGGCTCCTGATCCCCGAGCCTTCCTGTCCCACCGTGAGGTGAAGGGCCTTCACCACATGTGCTTTGCCTGCCATGGAGTCCTGCTGTGATGGACTGAGACCCTCTGAAACCATGAGCTAAAGCAAATGGTTTCTCCCTGTGGAGGTTTGAATGAGAATGGCTTGCATAGGCTCCTATGTTTGAATGTTTGGTCCCCAGTTGGAACTGTTGGGAACGGTTTAGGGACCGTGGCCTTGTTAGAGGAGACGTGTCACTGGGGTAGGCTTTGAGGTTTCAAAAGCATTCCCAGCACACACACACACACACACACACACACACACACACACACACACA